CACAGAATCTGAAGCAGGCTCCAGGCTCTGAGCTGTCAGCACAGAACCCAACGTGGGGCTCGAACTCGTGAACCGCGAGATCATGACCTGAGCTGAAGTCGCATGCCCAACCAGCTGAGCCACCCAGGCGCCCCTGGGCTCAGATCTTGATCTTACGGTTCTCGAGATGGAGCCCCACGTTGGGATCTGTGCTGACAGGCTGATAGCAAGGAGTCTGCTTGGGATTCTCTCTCTCTCTGCCCCTCCCCTCCCCCCACTTTCTCCCCCTCCCTCTCTCTCAAAATAAATAAGCTTTATTTAAAAAAAAAAACATTCACTTATATTGGGGTCTTATACTAGCATTTAAGTGTTGGGGCCATTAAGAGTGTTACTGTTAGAAGAGCAGAGGGGCATGGTGGAGTTGGGGGAGCAGAGACCAGCCTGATTTTCCCCCAGACTCCCCAATGGGGCCCAGCAATTGCTATTTCCCTCCAGAGGGCCCAGCTCACAGCAGCCCGTGACCCACTGTGTCCTGCAGGCAGTTCCACAAGGCAGAGAGCCACTTCTCAGTGGCCATCCAGCACAACCCCCGGAAGGCCCAGTACTACCTGCACCGTGCCAGGAGCCGGCAGCTCCTGCAGAACATTCTGGGGGCCCGCCTGGATGTTGCCACCGTCCTGCTCCTCAACCCCAAACAACCTAAGGTGGGTTCCTGCTGGGCCAGGAGGGCGGGCTCCAGAATCAATACCCACTGTTGCTTAAAGATACCCCCTGTTCCCAGCAGTCTGGTTTCCTAGAAAATTTAACAGCGGCCAATGCCAAGCACTTACAGTGTGCCAGGTCCTGTTCTAGCCACTTCAACTTGCATTGCCATTTGCCCTCTTCAGCACCCCATGAGACAGGTGACATTATTATCACCCCCAATTTGCAGGTGAAGAGGGTAGGGTTCAGAGAGGTCAGTTCCCTTGCCCCAGGGCACACACTTAGAGGCCAACCCCCCACAGGCTGGCTCCAGCACCTGCAGTTGGCTGGCCAGGTCAGGGTCAGTGTGCTCTCTTCCGGTAGGCCTCCTCACAGGCTCCTCCCAGTTCTGGAGCAAGAAGGTCTGGCCCTCTAAAAACCGCAGTTTGCAAATGCTTCCCACGTCAGCTCTGAGAAGGGCTCTGCAAGGGCAGGGCAGCGCCACACCCTTCGCCCCCTGCCCTGGCCCACACCCGGCTCTTTCCTGGCAGCTGCTCCCACTGATGGCCAACCTCTTCCCGGGCATGTCGGTGGAGGAGGTGCTCGGCAGCCAGGCAGCCCACCTGGCCAGGTTGCAGCTGGATCGGGTGTCGGAGAGCAGCCCGCAGGCTGGCATCCCTCAAGGCATCGTGGGGCAAGTTCCCCAAGTGGGGACCTCGGGCCAGGAGCGGGAAATGGCGGGGGGTCAAGACTCCTCCTACCCCACTGCCTCCTCAGGCCATTCTCCAGCCCCCGGGGCTGGTGGGCTGAGTCTGGCGGGGGGCCTTACCCAGCGCTCTGGGGCCATGGCTTGGCAGGCAGCTCAGGGAGCGGGAGCGAGAGCGCCACAAGGCACGGGCCCTGCAGCTCAGGTGGAAGCAGGAACAGCCTTTGGCCGAGACCTCTGAAGAGCTCAAGGCCACCACCCCCCAGACCCTGGAGGGAAAGCCAGAAGGTCCAGAGGAAGAAGCTGAGGCCCCCAAGAAGGAGGAAAAACAGGTGAGTGTGCCACATGCTGGGGCCTAGGGCCCTGGAGGTCTGGGGGAGCGTACCCCAAGCCAGGGCTGAGGGATGCAGATTGGCTGGAGGCTGGCATCCGGGTCTGGCTCTGCCGCCACTCAGCTGTGTGACTCGGGCTGGGGACATTCTGCTCTGAGATGGGGATGGTACCAGTAAGGGGTACACCCCTGAGGAAGGGCACACGAGGATGTGGGCCCCTCACAAGGAGGCCTTCCCACACTTGGCCACACTCACCTTCATAACTTCTGTGTGTGCTGGCTGTGCCAGGATTTTCTTAATTCTGCAATCCAGTTCAAAAAACTTTTTTATTGAATGTAATGTAAATATAGAAAAGTACACAAATCCTAAGGGGCGAGCTGATGAATTTTCACAAACTGAATACACCCACGACACCATTATCTTTTGAAAGACCACATTCCCAGGCCCCCTGCCAGGTCCCTCCCCTAGCCCAGTGCACCCCCAAGGCTGTCCTGACTGCTGACATCACAAATGAACGTGTCTGTTCACGCCCGTGGACAGATACAGTGTGCCCGCTTGCCTGACTCCTTTCACTAAGCTTGTTGGTGAGATGCATCTAAGCTGACCGCTCATTCTCATCGCTGTAGAGAATTCCATCCTGTGGAAGCCCCACGATTTGTCCGCCCCACTGCTGATGCAAGTACACTTGTGTTCAGAGGAAACGTTACGAATGAGTAAACGGACCACGAGCATCCCTTGCCATAAACGGCAACAGCCAGCGCTAGTTTTTTAGCTCACGCTGCAACACACAAATGCAGAACTTTGATTTGTGTGCCCTCTGAAGTCATCGTGAGCTCCCTCCCTCGGGGCGAGGTAGAGCTAGCGCCTGCCCGTCCTCACTTCCATTCCCCTCAGCCTGCAGGCGTGAGTGGGTCGGAGGGGTCCAGCAGCCACACGCCTGGCTGTGGCGTCCTGCAGGCCCGGATTCAAGCCCCGCCTCTCTGCTTTCTTAGCTGCGTGTCCCGGGCAGGCTGCTGCGGCACCCGTAGCCTGGGTTTCTGGACCATGAGAGGGTAGTTCCCTCCCAGATATGTGGGAGGATGAAATGGGAGAGGCATGTAAAGTGTAAAAACATTCCTCCATTCTTCACTAGCTATTCCCCAGGGCACAGCACTTTACCGTTTACAGAAGCCTGTCCCACACTTGAACTCATTTGCCTTTTGAAACTGAGGCCCAAGCAGCTGCCCAAACACTCCCTTTCTGAGTGCCATGCCAGTCTGGTCTGTCCACTCCCCTTCCTGGCCAGTCTTAGCCTGTCCGTGTCCCACCCAGCCCCAACTGGGGACCCTTGAGGAACTCTAAGCTGCTGGTCTTCCTTCCAGAGCTGTGCCACTGGCCCACGGCCTCCCACAGCCGGTGACTGCCTTGCCTATCTCTGCCCTAGGAGGAGAAGCCGAAGGCCGCAGCCAGCAAGGTGAGGTCCCTGTCCAACAGCTACCTCAGCCAGACCTCTTCAGGCTGCATCTTCGGCTGTAAGTCCCCAGCGCTCCTGCCGGCCCTGAGTACACCAAAGCGGCAGAGTGGGCCAAGGTCAGGGGTCAGAGACTCTCTGGCCCGTAGATGCTTCTGGGCTCTGCTTCTTACAGCTGTGTGACTCTAAAGCAGGAGTGAGGATCCTCGCTCTGCAAGGGGTGTGGTGAACCCTCAGTGAGGGCTGCATGAGGGGGGTCCTCACCGTCTCCCGCTTATCCTACAGCCCTGGCCCGCCTGCAGGGTTTGGGTTGCCGAGGAGGGCTGGGCTGGTGTCGTCTGGCAGACCTTCCCCTTGGCCACGCAAGGCCTCTGGGGCATAGGCAAGGGTGAGACGGACACCTCCTTTTCCTGGAGCTGTCTGCAAAGGGCAGCCTGACAGGTACCCTTGGCACATCCTTCCCAGTCAGGACCCTGTCCACCTCAGAGACAGCGATGTCCACTACCTGCCAGGAATACAAGAGCACCTCAGGCACTGCTGTGACATCCTCAATCTCCTCACTGCTGAAGACTCAATCCTCAGACCTGTTGGAGAACGGGGAAGACCTAAAATTGAGCCACAGGCCCAGAGAAAACGAGGCCGCCCGGGGCCAGAGCCGGAGGCCCAGCCAGACCGCGGCCTCCCAAGGCCAGAGCCGGAGGCCCAGCGAGATGAAGGCCGCCCAGGGCCAGGGCCAGAGGCCCAGCAAGACGGAGGCTGCCCAGGGCCAGAGCGGTAGTTCCAGCAAGACAGAGGCCACTCGATGCGCACGACAAAAGCCTAACAAAACCAAGGCCGCTAGGGGCCCAAGGCAGAGGTTCAGAAAGACCAAGGTTGCCCATGGCCATAGCTGGGGACCCAGTAAGGCTGCCACCCAGGGCCAGTGCTGGGGACTGATCCGAAGTCCCAGCAAGACCAAGGATTTCTATGATCCAAGTTGGAGCCCCAGCAGCACTGAGGCCACTCAGGGCCAATGCCAGAAGCCCAGCAAGACTGATGCTGCCCAGAGTTTGAGCCAGAGCACGAGCCCAGGTTCCAGCAAGACTGAAGTAACCAGGGCCTGAGCCTAAGTCTCAGAAAACCCCAGCCAGAAAAATCAAGGCTGGCCAGGACTCCAGCCCTAGCAGTTACATTGTTCTCTGGAGGGACCCTTCAGCCCCTCACTTCTTGCTGGGTATGGAAGAGATTCTAACCCCCTCCCCCCATACACACACGCTCACTGGCACTCAGCAAACTAGCCTCCTTCCAGAGCAATTAGATACCTCAGCCAACATTCCTCTGGTCCCATGGCTAAGTTTATTGTATTTGTTCTCTTATAAAATTAAAAACTTTAAAAACTAGGCCCAAGTGGCAGCTTGTGTCCGTCTGTTCACGGAGACTGAGAAGTCTCAGCTTGGCTTTACGATACTGGGACATAGGGTATGGAATGGAGGATTGAGAATATGGTGCCAGACCAAGGGGCCAAGAGTAAGACTGAAGAGGGAGGGAGCAGCCATGAGCCACAGTCCCTGAGTTACAATTCACATTTTAAGAAGGCTCAAGCTGGAGGGCAAGGTCAAGGCTCACTGAAGTTCTGGGGTCACCAGTGGTTTCCCTAAGGAAGGAAGCAAAGGCCAAGATGCCCTGAGAGCAGTTAAGAGGCCAGGGCCTGCCCTGGCCCCCTGGCCCATGGCCTGGCCAACATGCCTCCTCATCTTCACTTTGGACTCTGGGTCTCACTCTCCAGGAGGCTCAGGAAAAGAGTCCCTACTGAAGAGGCCCCAGGGCTCTCCTGCACAGCCTGGCCAGGAGGGCAAGGGTGCCATCTAGAGAGTCAGAGGAAGAAGGCAATCCTGGAAGCCACAGTTTTGCAGCCATTGGAGGAAAAGAGCTGCTCGTCCTCAGGGAAGAAGGTGGTGCTGTCCAGCACAGCCTGGACGACCTCATCCCTTGGCTCCAGGCCCAGCTGGGCCAGCTCGTTGAGCACGCAGTGCCGCACATGGTGCCGCTGCAGTGGGAGGAAAGGCACCAGCACGTCTAGGAGATGCTCTTCCAGGATGCCTGAGCGCCAGAAGCCATCTGCAGGAAGGGACAATGGGGGAAGGGTCTATGTTGGGCTCAGGGACAGCCCTGGAGCGCCAAAGTGTGGGCTGAGAAGTACCAGGTCGGTGGGCAAAGCATCAGACCCAGCCCTGGGTGAAGCCCCAACCTGCTGAAGTTACCCCGGGGGGGGCCTCCTGAGCGGAACTCACGGTGCGGGTTGTCCAACACAGCCTGGGAGATGACCAGCTCCAGTTCCTGTAGGCGGATCTCCTCACGGTCCCGGCGGCTGCGCCACGCCTCCAGTGCCACCTGGTTGATCTGCTCACCACCAGTGTTGCTGAAACCATGGGGGACGCAGGCTCAGGAGGGGCAGGATGGCCCCTGCTTCCCCCGTGCCACCTAACACAACCTGAGCCTGGGGACCCAGCTCAGTACCAGCAGGAGCCAAAAAACGCACTGAAAACATAGCACAGGCACCACTTCCCCTCTCCAGCGCCTGTGTCTACAACCATGACCCCTGGAAATTCACCTATATGTGCCACGCACTTTAGAGTTTACAAAACGCTTTTGGGTCCCTTAACTGACTTTCCCTCCCCCGGCCTCTAGGAGGACAGTGAGGCATTGATATTGGCCCTGCTGTGCAGAAAAGGAGATGGGAGTTCAGAGAGGTGAAGTGATTTGCCCAAGGAAACATAGCTAGGACTCTTAGAGGTGGGACTAGAATTCCAGTCCTGTTTTTCCCAAGTCTGTGTCCTCCTGGCCACAAAAGAGGGAAGCCCCTTAACCTAGCAGGCTTCCACAAACAAACAGTGAAGATCCCAAAGACTGAGCCTGGAATGGGCTTTGAAAATGTCAAAATGTGAATAACAGTGTCACAGTGAGAGTGTAAGGGGCTTTGGAAAAGCCCAACTGGGCCTGGGGGTGGGGGGAGGAAAGGTATTCTGCTCTGGGACCGCAGGCCCAGACTGGATAGCTGAGACCTTGGACAGGTGTCCCCGTACCATCCTGCTGCAGAGCTGGACCCACCTGATGAAGATGAAGATGGCTTTGCGATAGTTGGTCCCGAACACAACCCAAGAGGAGCCGAGGAAAGGTCGCAGGACCTCCATCAGGCCTGGGGCCAGCTTGTCCATCTCGTCAAAGAGGAAGAGGGAGCGGCTGCAGGCAGTGAGGTTCCCCTGGACCCAGCTCTTAAGATCCTTCTGCAGGGGAGAGGCAGGAATCTGAGGGAGATGCTTCTCTAACCCCAGACTTCTTCCCAAGGCCAAAACTAATCCCCTTCCCAGGAGGGTACGGTCTCCCAGAAAAAACTAATCCTTTCATGGGGCTGCGGGCAAAACTGTGGCCCTGAGAAGCAAGAGACTTATTCAAGCTCACAGAGCAAGTCAGCAGGCTCACAGAGACTCAAACCCAGGCCTTACGTCAGCCTGATCAGGACTCATTCTCCGATCCTTCCTACTTTCCATAAAAGGGGAAGGTTCCTTTATGCCCCCTGAACCTTCCCAGTAATATTGACAGCTGAAACAGATCAGCCTGCAAAGTACCTTGCAATCAACAACAATAGTAGTAGTAAGAGCGACTATTTACTGAATGCTTCCTCTGAGCCTCAAATTGGGACTATGCTTTGCAGAAAGAAGATAACGCAGACTGTCTGGCAAAGGTAAGTGCTCAATAAATAATACCTGCAACTATATGATCCCGTGTCCCTGGCAACAACCTTGGCAGGAAGGTACCATTACTGCCCCTACCCACCCCCCCCCCCCCCCCCCCCACCCGCCAGGATTTAAAGCAAGAACTCCCTGCCAGGTAGAATGGCACCATCTCAAGCTCTGGTCATGATGGGTCCTGAGGGCTGGGGCTCCAACTGGCTGTGTGGCTTGGAGCAAGTGACTCTCCCTCTCTGGACTGAGGATTCATTCACT